GTTCCACACAGTTCTACTTGCTGCCATTTAAAAAACCCACTGCTCGAGTCAGAAAAAGCTCTTGGACCTGCCAACAATGTTTCTCTATACAAGGATGTAAATGAAGAATACGCTACTAATATTGAAGCATGAGACTCTGGAAAGAGAACTGATCTGGGTGAAATTCTGTTACTGTCTTAGGGAGAAACTTGTGGTACCTCTGGAAGAGAACTCTATCATCAAGACAGATCTGTCACAATAGCTTGGACTTCTGGAAGAGGTGAAAGCAACCTAGAAATCCACTTTCCCAGACCCAGAAGTGAACAGCTATGTTGAGGATCGTAAAGACAGGATGCAGGAGAATCCATAGCATAGTCTTCAAATTCCATGTGCTTCATCTCCAGCAGCAGGCAAGAAACTTAAAATGCTCTTTAAGGAATGTGAAAGTGATGGAGTGAAGAAGTATAGCACCTCGGTTATTAGCCAGATGACAGGCTCAAAGAGGTGCTAAATAGACCTTAAAACAGTTTAAGGACAGACCTGATCCCTTCAGCTCAAGTGGGTACTCCAAAATGAGCACTCACTTTATCAGAATTGATAAACTGGAGGGGACTAACACAACACACTGATCTGAAAATTAACTGAGAGCTTATTCCTTTCTGCTATTTACGACATGATCTTTTCTGGGGTGAAACCAGCAGTCCTGTAACAAAGGCAGCCAATGAAACATGCATCCTGGTCCATGCTATGGAGCGTAGACCTTGAAGGAAAGGTGGTATACAACAGGTAAATCTCCCCGTGCTTTGACTGAGTAAAGTTAGCTGCAATTGTTGAGGCAGCAGGATAACACAAAGCCTCTGACCCCTAATAAGACAGGTTGAAAATAGGTTTCTCCTTGAAGCCAGACAGAGAGGTAGATACCTGTCAGTCCTGGGAAGAGATCAGGAGAGGAGACTGGCAGATGCCTGCGTGCCATTAGAGGGTCTGGACATCTGAGTTGAGGATGGATTAGCTACACTGCATACAGGTTGTAGTGACAATCTGCTTAAAACTTAAAACTTAAAACTGCTTAAAATTTTACCTGCTGAAGAAATAGGTACAGACATTTTACCCATCTCCCCCTCCTGCATGTGCTGGTTTGGGCTGGGGTACAGTTAATTTTCTTCACAGTAGCTGGTACAGGGCTGTGCTTTGGATTTGTGCTGGAAACAGTGTTGATAATGCAGAGATGTTTTAGCTATTGCTGAGCAGGGCTTACAGAGTGTCAAGGCTTCTTCTGCTCTTCACACCACCAACAAGGAGAATGGGGGTGCACAAGAAGTTGGGAGGGGACACAGCCGGGACAGCTGACCCCAACTGACCAAAGGGATATTCCAGACCATAGGACATCATGCTCAGGATGTAAAGCTGGGGGGGAGAAGAAGGAAGGGGGAGATGTTCGGAGTGATGGCATTTGTCTTCCCAAGTCACCGTTAGGTGTGATGGAGCCCTGCTTTCCTGGAGATGGCTGAGCAACTGCCTGCCCATGGGAAGCAGTGAATTAATTCCTTGTTTTGCTTTGCCTGCATGCACAGCTTTTGCTTTACCTGTTAAATTGTTTTTATCTCAACCCATGAGGTTTTTTTTTTTCTTTCTTTTTCTTTCTTTCTCTCTTTCTTTCTTTCTCTCTTTCACCTTTCCAATTCTCTCCCTCATCCCACTGTGGGGACTGAGCAAGCAGCTGTGTCATACTGGCTGTCTGGGGTTAAACTGTAACACTGCAGAAAGTCAGAAACTTGAGTAGAAATTCAAACAAGAACAGTAGCTTATTCAGGGGGATGAATTCATACCTGACCAACTATGACAGTCTGCAACGAGGCTGAGGAACACACACAAGTCCCCAGACCACCTTATACTCTGAGGACATGGTGATGACCATGACTGAGAAGGAGAATGAGGAAATCCATCTTCCATCTGACCTAGACGTTTATCATTTATCCTTTTGGCTGTGACATGGCAAGAAGCAGTATCTGAAATGATGAAGTCAAGTCCAGAATAGTACTCCTAGCATCTAGAGACACCCCAGGATCGGTGGGCAATGCAGACTATACATCAGGCCATGAGATGGTTATTTTGGGGACCTACCATCCACTTTAGGGCAAATCTTGGCATTGCTGGAGTTTGTCATCGACTTTAATTCCCTGAACAGTTGCAGAAGCCAAGATAGAGATTTAGGCAGCAGTCTGAGCATTGCTGGTGCCAAATATGGAGATAACCAAGTCAGTTCCACTAGTCCTAAAGAATGTAATGGCAGTGTTGGTGGAGCTGATGTACCTAGACCCAGAACTGCTGCAACAGATAAAGAAGAAAACAAATGCTTACAGTGCTTCATATTGGCCTTCAGTGGCTGAACTAGTTCTGGGGATGACCAAATCAGAGGCCTCTGTGGTAATCACAAGGATCTGAGAGGACTTGACTTTACCAGTCTGGAAGGGAGAAGACAGAGAGACTTTCTTGGGATGGCTTTCTTAGGAGGATGGCCAGTGGCAGATCAAAGACAAAGCAGTCAGATTCAGATGACTGCCTTCCAGCCCATGATACCCACTGGGTGGGTAATAAAAAAGCTTTCACTGCCTTTCTCAAGGAGAAATTTTCTGTAGTTCAAGCTCACCATCCTTTCCAGTTTTAAGGAACACCACATGGAACACTTGCTGGGAGCAAGACCTTCTCTGTCACACTAACAAAACCCTGTACATGTGTCAGAAGATGAAATTCAACCCCAAAGCAGAGATACACCCAGGGTGTAAAACAGTCTTGGGAGATACCATCAAAGCTGAAGAGAAGCACAGCCTCTGCTATTGGCAATCAACAGCAGCAACTGGGGAGCTGTGAGAAAATGAAATGACACAAGAGTTATCTACCTCACATTCTCACTGAGCATGGGAAGGTGAGCACAGCCCCTAATGAACATTGTTTCTGGTCTCAAGCAACAAGTCATGTAAATATCTATAATCTGAATGTAGTTGTGGACAATCACTCCAAAAAATAAAAAGGTAGGTCTTCCAGATGCAACTTTATACTGAATAAACCAAGTCCACCAATTTACGTCTGCTCATTCACTATTTCCTCTGTGCTTCATAGAGACCTATTCCAATTTGCACTTAATTGGATTTCTACAGCTAATGGTGAAACGAGGTGTAAAATACGTATCTTTTGGTAGTCAATTAAATTTAACTTAAATCCCAAACATGTATAAAGCAATGACTGATCAGTGCACAATGCTAGTCAGCACAAACCCAGCACCATTTAACTGATGAAAAACTCCTCCCTGCAAATATGCTACGTCACCGACACTATTGACAGAGCAGTAGTCAACTTGTGATAAATTTCACAAAGTTACATTCCCTGCTCATTTCAGATAGGAAATAAAGAAATCAAAAGTGATCTAGATGAAATGAAAGATAAAATAAACTAACAAAGAGGAAAAAAATATATAACCATACTTCATGTGAATCTGTATACACTGCACTGTGATTTAAAATTATTTATGTGAATACACTCACATTTTTGTTCACTGGTTTAGCTCAAAACATGTATTTTCTTTTTTTCAGTGGCAATCAAACTCTTAAAGCTTCAAATAAATAAATTTGTTTACTTCATATCACCAAGAATTCTATCTATTCAGACATTTAAGAAACTAAAAAAGAAATGGGAGGAGGACATTTTTCATTTGAATAGAGTAACCTTATTATCTCAGTTACTTCTATATCAATTTTCTATGTAAAAAAATTATTTTTCAATTGCCTGCCACAAGAATTTAGATTCAGAATCAAATATTAAGCAATGATCTCTTTGTTTTCTGAGATGCTGAAAGCCAAGTACTACCCTCACATAAATCTTTGTAACCCCATCCTTGTCAGAGTACATCATTAAGTTCACACTAGAGAAGTTGTCTTCATTTGGGCAAAGGTGTTACTGGGCCACATGTGAGAACAAACACCTGAAAGCAGTAATTAGCTCATATTTAGCTCCAACATGTCCATCACAAAAAATAATCCAGAGCAATACTACTTCTGCAAGGCTGACAGCAACAAGAACAGACAGCAACACTTTACATGCCAAGCTTTTTATGTGATATCACCTAAATCCCTCCCTTTTTCCATGCTTGGTTCTTCTAGACATCCCATAAGTAGTCCTGTGCAGTCCCCAAAAGTTTTTCCCCTGCACCCCCTAACATGTCCCACACCCCCAACTAGCAATAACCTTAGCCCAAAAAGTGACCTGCAGAGCTGCTCCTGATGGCTCATGGTGCTGGGTTTCATTACCTGGATGCTGGCGCTGAGGTTCTCCTGGGACAACGCTGGGAGGGGACTGGACAAAGCCTCCCTTCCTCTTGGTCCTTAATTTGGGTTTCTACCTGTCCCTGTGCTCCTCTGGGCTTGTGGAGTTGGATCTTCCACAGCTAGTACCCTGGCAAGGTACCACCACCGCCTCTCTGGGCTCCTTTGTGGATTTTGCAGATGAGCTTTATTACACCCTGAACAGGGACCACTGCACTCAGCCAGCCTTGAAATATAACGACTTTCCACCAGCTTTCTAAGCTCTAACACACAGATTTAATCTGTAACAGGTCATCTGTTTCTTAAAATAACCTGTGATGATCAATCCCCTTTCAGCATCTGTTTGAAATCATCGCATATTGCTTGCTATAAACCAAATATGGTTATTAATGATTGGGTAAATCATATCATGAACAAAATGGTGAGGACAGGTTGTAGACAGTAATTTGTGCACGTCCCTAATGCTGCAGCTTCAGCAGTCTCATCAAGGTCAAGGCAGCTATTCGAGTGGTTAAAACAAAGCCTTTGTGTCTCAGCAAAACTGGGGTGTTACAGATGACAGCCCCTGATCGACATGCCCAGGGTCTCACCCAGCACCCAGCCCGGTGGAGTCTTTACAATGATACAGGAAAGCTTTGGATCAGCCTCTAGAATCGCAATGTTGGGTTTTTTTCCATTTAATTTTGGGGGTTTGTTTATTACCTCTCTGTTGGTCTTCTGTTCCATTAAGCTGTTTTTGTGCTTCTTCAATTTTATCTGCAAGAAAGAGAAGTCATTATTAAAATACATATATGTATATATAAAAAAAAGGCAAGATTATAGAAAGTCATTTATTGAAATCTGTCTTGAGCTATCTGTTTATATTTAGGAGCAATACCATTCACACATAAATATGCAGTACATTATGAGTAATACTGCCACATAAAATTTTATCATGTTTTACCAGCAAGGCTATTGACATGTTAAATTACACGGAACTGCAGAAAGAAAAGCATTGGCATTGGACCTGCAGCCAACAGCTAATCCCGCTGTAGTTTCGTACCATCGATAATAATTTATGCAGTCAGGGGACTCTTCAGAATAGGTATTATGGTGCATTACAGACTATTTTAATAGGTTTTTGTTAGAACAAAACAATGTGGTATTAAACACAGTGATACAAAGAGCAAACAGGATTTGCTAGGTGAAGCGACGGAGCCAATACTGTCACACTGGAGTAGTGGGGGGTGAGCAGTAGCCCAGTGCTTATTCTTCTGTGAAACTACCCAAAATTTGCAGGAGCAAAGAGGCCTCGAGTCTTCACGCTCACCCTGTTTGTGTCAGATGGCCGGCTGCCCCCCAAATACATCGGTGCCAGGAAGGGAGCTGTGTTTCTGCCACTGTTGCATGGAAGATCCCATGGGAAGGAGGGACCTCCGCCTGCACACGTGTGTGTTTCCCTGTGCAGAGCAAGAAGCAAGAAAAAGGGGCAACTGGAATGAATGAAAACTCGAGATTGATTTCTTTTTTGGTAGCAATCCTCAGTGGCTTCAGTGCTAGAGGTTGTGTTGATAGGAAGCAGTGGTACTGGCAGAGGTTGAGCTCCACATCCAACTGTGGCCTGACCAACCAAGGTCTAAGCTTGGAACGTACCTTTCAGATGTATTTGATCATTTTCCCAAACTGTGACAACTTTTTTTGTTTTCTTTCTTTGTGGTGGTGGATGTGGTTTTTATAAAATTAAATTGATGATCATTTTCCCAAACTGTGACAACTTTTTAAATTCTCTCTTTGTGGTGGCAGAAATGGTTTTTATAAAATTAAATAAAAAAAATTTAAAGGTCCCTTCCAACCCAAACCATTCTATATTTCTATACCTGGATTCAACCTAAACCTCTCCGACTCGACACGTACACCTCAAGAACTACCAGACTTCATGGCTGCCATATGCAGAAGGAAGAAGATAGCTCTGCAAAGTCCTCACCTCTTTCTTCATGAGTGTGGATGCTGTTATTCAGTCTTTTCCTCACTGTTCCTATACAATGCAAGGTTTCTAGAAAATGGTCCTTTCCTCAACAGACTTTTAAACCAGCACTTTTAAGGGACTTTAATATTTATGAGCTGAACCACTCAAGTACACTGGAACCGTTTATTCACAGTTGAGGTCTGAAATGGTTTTCCAATTATTTTCTCAGTAGAACTAAAAAATTATAACTGAAACAAACCTTCCTCACAGGTTTTAAGACTGAGTTTTGTCCAGCTCACTCCAGTTCTGCATTTCTGCCTTTCAAAACTAGTACCAGGTTCCCTTCCTCACTAAAACTCAATCATTTCTCTCCTGTACGTTGTCCCAGGGAATGGACCAAAACACCTCACAAGGATGCTGACCAGGCACATGCCCAAAGCCAGCGCTGAAGAGGTTAACAAGACATATATACATATTTAAAGGGAAGTTTTAGACACAGTCTCTTTTGTGCTGATGACAAACACAAGCAACTTAAAAATAATAAATAAAAAAAATAATCAAACCTTCCGTAGCTCTTTACCAACCCAGTTACATGAGCTTACTTTAAACAACAAAGATTTTATATTCTTGATATTTAAACTCTTCCTGGATTTCAGCAACAGCTGATATATGTATCTACAAATTTTTGTATAGAAAGTGCTGAAAATAACAATTTCTAACAAAAGTAAGAAGAAACATAAACAAAGCATCTTTTTTATACATGTGCCACTAATGCTATTGGAGAAAAATGTATCTGACAACCTTCTACTGGTTTCCCCCAGATTACTGCTTTACAGAAAGATGATGGAATAAGCAATTTACAAAGTTCCAAGACAGCTGATAAAATACATGAACACACAAGAAAAAAACCCAAACATTAACAAATTAACCCTGTAAACAGAGCTCTGAGATTCATGAAAAAGCAAGCAGCAATCGAATAATAGACTGGCTATCAAACTCATTTCCTCTCTGTTTAGAAATATATCTAATGCACCAGATACAGTGTTTATCTCTTGAGAGGACATAAAAGATTTGTCACCAAAATTTATACTTAAGTACACAGACAACTCTGCATATTTCACATAAATGCAACAATAAATGTATGCATTTAAATTCACAACTATCCTATTTTCTAGAGAAAAATTACTTAAGTATTTTGGAAGTATGCTACATTAAGTTGCCAGAAAGATTAAATGCTTTGATCTCCTTAATTTAATTCTCTCTCTTGCTTATTAAAACAAACAAACAAAAAAAATCGGTGTTCCTATCAGAAATTCCCAACCACTTCTTTGTCAGACTGCAATCCCAAACAAAGAAACACAGATAACCAAAATAATAACTAGGTAAACAATTCCTTGGTGCACAGTCAGAAAGTCTCCTTCACTTCCTGCACCTCCATGTTTTCCCCAATGGGTTGTATTTATTGCATCCAGGTTTTCCTAACTATGGAGGCATCTCTGTGCAGAACAGTTTCAAGTAGGGCTGGAGCACCTCTCCTATGAGGACAGGCTGAGAGAGTTGGGGCTGTTCAGCCTGGAAAAGAGAAGGCTCTGGGGAGATCTTATAGCGGCCTCCCAGTACCTGAAGGGGCTACAAGAAAGCTGGGGAAGGACTTTTCATAAGGGCAGTTAATGACAAAACAAGGGGAAATGGGTTTAAGCTGAAAGAGGGGAGGTTGAGATGAGATATTAGGAAGAAGTTCTTCACTGTGAGGGTGGTGAGACACTGGAACAGGTTGCCCAAGGAAGTTGTGGATGCCCCCTCCCTGGAAGTGTTGAAGGCCAGGCTGGATGAGGCTTTGAGCAACCTGGTCTAGTGGAAGGTGTCCCTGCTGATGGCAGGGGGGTTGGAACTGGATGATCTTTAAGGTCCCTTCCAATCCAAACCATTCAATGATTCTATGACGTATTAGGAATATCGAAAAAAATCAGTGTTGGCTCTGGAAATGGAGACAACGATTTTGACCGTCAATGAGGGATGGGTCTGAACATGGGTCTGCCTGCTACACGTTTCAGTGAGGACTACATCCCCGTAACGACCCGTATCACACAACTACTCGCTCCTCTTATTGGTACATTTAACACCATCGTATGAAATTTATGGCAGCTGCTTCCCAGTCTGTCACATTTTACAACTACAGATCCTATATTGGCGATGGCCTTACAAACCACCATGGTTTAGGCTGGAAGGAAGAATGGGGTTATCTTGGTGTGAGGAACTGCACTATAAACTTGTCTCAAAGATTGCTTGCAAGGACAGTCACAAGACCACCAGGTTCTGGAAACCCCGACTTGTGAAGGCGCCCTGCCCGCGGGGGTGTTCTGCCCGGACATGTCCCTGCCCCAAGTGCTGGGGGGCACGAAGAGACGTGCCATTGCTATGGAAGCTACAGCCCTCAAAGGAGTATTTAAGGAGGGAGAAAAGGAGGGAGAGAAGGAGAGAGACAGAGAGAACGACCTCCTGACCGCACCTCGCCACACCGCATCACCACTGGAACAAGCAACTGAGACCTCCTTGCCCGCCTCTCACCGTCGCCTTGCCGCTGGACCCGTGGTGGTGACTATTCTTGCTGTCCTATCCTGACTCCTTGCTTGATTTCCCATCTTTCATTCCATCCTGTCCTATCGCTGTTCTCTTTATTACTCTTCTTTTTGTAATAAAAGGTGTTCTAGGAGTGCGGCATGTGACCTCGTTTGTGTCTTAATCTCGCTCTTGGGATCATATCGAAACCTTCCCTGACATCGGATTGGGATATTTAAATGATCCCGACATCGGATCGGGACACTTGGACAACCACGGAGCAGGCAGGAAGAGCAAGGTTTGAACCACTCAGCCAGTGAGTTCATCCCTGGTTCTTCTGACAAGTCCCATGTACGTCAACAATAACTGGTTAACTAACAACAGACTGATATTATCCAGTCATTTCCTTCTCTTGTGTCTCATTAAATTAGCTCTATGTATGTGAACCATTTTAAGGTAAATCATTTGAAAACAACATTATAAACATTTTAAGGCAAATCTTAGCACAGGAAAGACATGGATCTGTTGGAGCAGGTCCAGAGGAGGCCACAAAAATTATCAAAGGGTTGGATCAGCTCTGCTATGAGGACAGGCTGAGAGAGTTGGGGTTCCTCAGCCTGGAGAACAGAAGGCTCCAGTGAGACCTTATTGTGGCCTTTCAGTACTTAAAGGGGGGCTATAAGAAAGATGGGGACAGACTTTTGAGCAGGGCCTGTAGTGATAGAACAAGGGGTGATGGTTTTAAATTAAAAGAAGGGAGATTTTTACTAGAGATAAGGAAGGGATTTTTTACAATGAGGGTGGGGAAACCCTGGCCCAGGTTGCCTGGAGAGGTGGTAGATGCCTCATCCCTCATTCAAGGTCAGGTTGGATGGGGCTCTGAGCAACCTGATCTAGTTGAAGATGTCCCTGCTCACTGCAGGGCGGTTGGACTAGATGGCCTCTAAAGGTCCCTTCCAACCCAAACCATCCTAGGATTCTATTCTATGGAATTATTTCAGATAATGTACCATATTCTTTCACAATTGTAATATAGATTTTCTAACAGTACACACCTTGGAAAACTCTTCATCAGCAAATATACATTACACAACAGCCATCAGCAAAACCCAGAAGGAACTGAAAATTGTAAAGTCCACTATTAATTGCAAATAATATTATCCAATCCAATATTCACTTGATTTAGTATTATTTCAGATTTGAACCTGCAATACTGAAGATAGGCAGGTAGTGGAGGCCCCATCCCTGGAGA